TTCCATATAATTTACTATTTTTCCATAACTCAATTAATTATTTAGTATGAGCTTACTAATAATATTAATAATAATACCTTTTGAAAGTCAAAACAGTGTCACACATGGAACACTTGTTAATAATCGGCATAGTGAATAAAGCAAAAAAAAGAAGGGGGAAGGAGAGAATTAAAAAAAACAGAACAAGAAAATCCTTAAAAATTTCATAGTAGAAGGGGAAACAATGGAAAAGAGACAAGTAAATATACCATTACATACATGCAAGGATAGATATATACACAATAATTTATTTCCACACCATAAAGCCATCTGCCTAAATCGATTTATATTGAATAATAATAATGGCAACTAAACATCTGTGTATTAATCGTAACTAGAATAATAACAATAATAATATTAATATTGTTATTATATATAGACCCACAAGTATCAAGGAAAATGGACGAGAACAAAGAAAACGGAAGGAAAAATAAGCCCGACAAAAAGTAAGATTTTGAAAAATATTAATACACAATCAGCTCAATCTGAATAAACAAATAAAAGTAGAAAATAGACAATAATGAATATCAGTAGAGAAAAAGAAGTTATTCATAGATGAAAATAACAAACAATATGATTATCGTTGGATTACTGCAGGGTGAAAATAAATATAGAATAAACAAACAAACTCAATAACTAACATATTAACCTCTTCCGACAAAGACAAGAAAACAGTTAGCATTCAATTCGATTCACATGGACAATAAACCTTACACAGTATGTAGTATTACATTAATTATTGGTGGATATAATAATGAACAAGTAGATTTTAATGTAGAAGACTGACAGGAAATTGATAAAAATCAACAAATATTAGAGCATGATCAATTAAAAAGGGAATAAAAACAAATATATATATAGTAATTTGATCTTATCAGAATATATTCCTTAAAAAGATGCTTGAGAAGAGAAGAAGAAAAAGAAACAATTCTCTCCTCAAAGATACGTTTAGTGTTTTACCCGCTATATATATCTCCTCATAAGCTTTGTTACCGTTTACTTACAAACCATCCTGTATATTATGCATATCGAAAGCGCATTGATATGATTTTAATAATACTATATGCTGATAACCGATATTATTTTTTATATAAATAATGTCAGGTTTTATAAAATCTTATACATACACTGATATGGATAATATTTATATACTAGGAAGCGGCTAAGTAAAAGTATACGTGCCAGTCAAAGTTTAGTACTTGCACAAATTAACTACTGCTACACTGATGCTTTATTCACGTATGAAATGTGAATTTCTTAGTTTCGATGATTCCTGGGATGGTAGTAATTGTGGATCGCTTGGGAGTTACATATAGAATAGAAACAAACGTCTAAGGTGTTCTCTAGGTTTCCATGGTAGCCGAACTGGACTCAATCTGTAGTTATCATCGTCGTACAAATTTAATCAATCTCCGTAAAAGCCCTTCATAAAAATTCATAATTTTTTAATGAAAACAAGAAATGAATTAATTTTATTTTACACAAAGTATAACACACAGAAAATTTCAATTAAACAACACGAATGTATGAAACAACAGTTAAAATTCAATTAAATAAATAAATAAAATAATAGGAAACATTGATTGTCAGAAAGAGAAATCTGACGTTACAATTCATTCTATACACGATATAATATATAGTTCAATGTTCAGATTGACGCTTTCCATCTCTACTTCATATATAATTACTAATAATATATATTTTGACCAGAGTAAACAAAAAAATGTGTGTACTATTTTTTCTTCTTTCAAAATAAACAAATAAATTTAAAAGGAAACTGTAGAAGTTGAGAAAAGAAACTTCTATCTTTACATGTTCGTTATAATTAATGTTTTAAATATATATATATATATATATATATATATATATATATATATATATATATATATATATATATATACACCGAAAAAAACTTGAAGTGAGAATAAAGTGTGAATATTATATCGAATAATATATAAGTATACATACAATGTGTATTAGGATATAACAATGAAATAAACTAAATCAAACTAATCCATTAGTGAAAGAAACGAACGTAAACAGTTTAATAAAGAAAAATGAATACAATACTACATACATACATACGCACAGTCAAATAAAATAAACATTGTAGATACTTATTTTATAACAAAAAAAAATGAGAACAAAAGAATACAAAAAGAAAAAGGTGAAGAAATGACAAACATCAGTCATAATAACAACAATACCATACATAAAAAGTCAATCATATCTTTAAAAATGAAAATTTCTATGGAATAACTAAATAGAATTTTATTTTGAAGGGTTTGAATACTATAGTTATTGAATCTGGGGACTGGGACTGATTAGCCCCTTCTGACATACGTACACCCTGAGTAAATTGCTTCGATAGTGCCATATAATTACAGTATTTGTTTAGTAGTTAATAGTTGAATACAACATGTGCGTTTCGTCACATTTAGGGCTCATCAGATGGAGGTAAGATGATCGAAGTATTAATATTTAGAGTGAAGCAAGCAAAAGATGCCTTTTGCTCAAAACCCCATCGTGTTGTTTGTTTGAATCTAAACAGTCAATGATTTGTACAACAGGTCTCAATGTGAACATCAACACTGAGATGTTGAAGAGTTCCGAATAAAACAAGATACGAGTCTTAGATTTTACCATACAACGCTTTTTATTTTTAAAGGGAAGTATGTATTAAAAGAAAGTACTAAAAAAGGGAAAATGAGAGAGAGGATTCACAAAAACCTGGATACGTAAGCATGAGGTTCTGAACATCAAAATTCTGAGAACTTTTTCAATATAAATTGAAAAAACATTGCGAAATATCTAAATCTATTGACAGAAAATTCTAATCAGTTCAAAAAGTGAACGGAACAGGAGATTTCATTTTGTAGACTTCTAACAAAGCTGTGTGACTTCAATAAGTTGAATAATAATCTACTGACTTATAATGATCCTAATCAAATAATTTACTAGTAAACCAACATACAGAGAGAATAACTAACTAATTAACGCAGAAGGTTCTAAAACTGGGACAAATCCATTAACTTTAGTCTTTCAAAAGTGAGTATACTAAATAGCAGTTCGTCCAGCTTTAGTCTATTACAGTGAAACATGGCCTTTAAAAGTAAAGGATATTTGTAAGTTACATATCTTTGATCTGTTTTAGGTATCCGGTTGTATTATACTAAAATGAATACAAGACAAACAAAAGCATGGACATTATTGCATGATAATTAAATGAAATTAGTAAAATGTTGGTAACTTAATTTCTGTCATTCGAAAATGACATTTTTAATACACCACTTAAATTTCAGTGTTATCTTACAATACTTCAAGTGAAAACTGTATTATCGAGCATGTATCCCCATATACGAGTGCATTCGGTTAAGAAATAACCGACTAAGTATTTTTTTAGATCACCTAGACTGTGGTAGCATTGAAATATTCATATGCTCAACGTTTTCAAATACTGTTACTTTGTCAGTCAGTCAGCTACAACGTAGGACCAGACACATATATGCATCGGTCCTAGTTGCTACACCTCATTAGAATAACAAGCTGAACACCGAATTCATAGAAGTAGTTACTTCAATGGTAGTAACACATAAAAAGAAAGATTGTTTATATACCTCTAACAGCACTTAACATCACTGCGTTGCTTTGTAAATTGATTTGAAGAAAATGAATTATATAGTAGATAACTCCAATACAGTATATACTGTTTACTTTTTTTAAATTGAGAAGTTTAAACCCACAAGAATTGTACCTGTGAATTTTCCAATTGATTAAATACTAAATCACATGTTCTTATATTAAAAATTAACCGATAGATATTATCGATAATGTACACAGAAAAATCGTACGTCAGGAAATTCTATAGAACACAATATTCATGATTTAATATATTCATGAATGACAGATATGATAGGAGGAGAGGATCTAATGATTGACAAGATAACTTAAAAAAAAAATATTTTTTGAAACTTTCATAATTATAGGATACGGGTTTTGTGAAGTTAAAGTTCATAACAGATAATACACAATAGCACTGGTGGTTGGATGAGTATAAATCAAGAAAAACCTTCAACATTCAATTGCTCGAGTAGGATGGAACGATTGAGTGTACCTATTTTAGATTAGACGTAAATTTCTGGATAAAAATGTGATGAGATCATGAACGCCAGAAATGACTGTGGATCACTAATCACCCCTTTCCCAATCTGAAATAGTGACTAGAGTAAGACTAGGATATATATAGTTAAAGCTATTATTATTACTAATATTATTATTATTGTTATTGTTAATACACCGAATCTTCAACAAAGATAGTAAGATCGAGTTAATCATAAGATAGCTAATGATTAATCAACAGTTAAATGAAGATCATAAAGTAACCAATAGTCATGTATTTTTGCGCGCACTGTAACAAAAAGCACATACTTTAAATCGAAGAGGTTTCGTGGAAAAAAGGTAAACTTGTAGGCTGTATTCATCACAGACCAATCTCACTTACAACACCAAAAGAAAAACCATAGAGTACTGGACAGCTGTTTCGTATTTGTACTGAATTCCTTAACGGTTCTCTGCCCAACACTACTTGGTTTTCAATGGTACACCAAATGAAATCAACTTGTAATGAATACAATCTACAAGTATATAAACGTTGATCAATAATTCTTCATAAAGGATTATCAGTTTGATAAATAATTAATGAATTCATTGTAAGTGAATACGTACATTAAAGTTCAAATCGGTTAATAGAAAAGTTTGGTAGAATGGATGTAATGAAGCACAGTGTTTCCAGGTTTTCAATGGTGGTCTAGCTTAGATTGACCCGTGAATTTAACTGTTAAAATAATACAATCTCCAAAAATCACCATACTGAATGAAATTAGTCAGCAACTGATTAGTTGAAGAACTTCATCAAAAAATAAAAACAATGTAACTGTATGTATTAGAAAAAATAGATTTACTTTTGTATTTCGATTAAATTCAGCTACAGTTGTTTCTTCATTGACAAGCGTATCCAGTGGTAACTCCAGTGAGTAAATCTGACCACGACTATTTAATTGAAGGAGATCATTACCAACTTGTAGATCTAATCCATCACTAGAAATCTAATAAATGCAAAACAATAATAAAAGAAAAGGATATTTTTTTTATGACAAAATAAGTTAAACTTGACTATTATCACTAAAAGTATGTTATAGTGTAGCGAGCAAAGAATCATGTTTTATACAAAATCCCAGTGCCTGACCGTTGTTGCTACCTTGACGTGGTGGTCGGACTTGCCTATCGTGATGAAGCAACCGAGCTATACTGGCTGGAACAACCGTTCCTCAAGGTCCTACCATGTCAGACAGGTCGGTTGAAGAGCGGTAAGACTAAAAGCAACAAACTTAAGGTCCGAAGGCGAAGTCGTACTGCTCACTGTACAGAGGTGTGACAGCAGTAAGGTGTTTCCTTCAGACAACCAGCATGGCAGCGATGCTGCCTTCCCACAAGGAGGGTTTGGGTTAGAAAAGGTCGACCCTAAAAATGCACACCTCGCCTTATCCCACGGATATCCATCTCCGGCGGTGAGGTCTCAACAAGTACGGAGCTAACACAAAAATTACGCATAAAAAGGTCATGTGTGACCGACCTCAAGCAGTAGTCCCTTGTTCACTGCGGTCACGCTCCAGGTCACTAAGACCACCTCTAATCCAATTTCCTTTTCAGGTACCTCCAGAACAACCCTTCCACGGTGTGGGCAACCGGGAAGTGATAACCACCCTCATACCTCTAACAGCACTCAAGACCACTGTATTCATAATCAACCTTCCTCTTCAATTCCTATTGTTCCTCGTACATCGACTTTCACCCCTAAACTTCCTATTTCGGCTTTCCCTTCAAGTGTCACCATAGCCAACGATTCTAGTGCTCAAAACACTGTCCCAGGTCTACTGACACCTCGCTCTAAACTACACATTGGAGCCTTCAACGTACGCACCCTATGTCAAATCGGTCAACAGGCTTCCTTGGCTAGAACCCTAGAATCTCATACCATTGATGTATGCTGTGTCTCTGAAACACGCATACAGGATCCCAGTGTGGTAATTCACTTGACCTCACCTCGGCAACACGGAAAGCTAACGAGATACACCCTCCGTGTATCTGGTGACGCGATGGCCAGCTCTCGTGGAGGTAGGTAGCTTAAGCCAAACAGAAAGGCATTCAGGTGGGTATTTTAGTATTCCGGTACAACGAACTGATAGTGGTGATCGTCTGCTGCAACTGTGCTCAGCCAATCATTTATTTTTAGCAAACACAAATTTTAAGCATAAGGAGAGACATCGTCTAACATGGCGACCCCCTACACCAAACCAACGATGGACTCAAATAGACCATATTGCCATCAGTCATCGTTGGAGAGGGTCGGTAGAAGATTGTCGCTCATTCTGGAGTACCTGCTTGGACTCCGACCATGCCCTAATACGGGCACGCATCTGCTTGCGCCTCACTGGACGCAAAAAAGCCACATTAAAAAGACCCATTAGAACTGAATTGAGTAACGAGAAAACCAAAAGTAGGTTCCAGGAACAACTGAGGTCACACTTAGGTAGTTCTGAAAACGAGGCTGACCCAGATGTTGCTTGGAAAGCTACACAAACAGCTGTGGAAACAGCAGTGACATCTATCAGTGATTTAAACCACAGGGTTACAAAAACCAATGGATTTCTTCAAGGTCTATTGCACTGATGGATTCTCGTAAACTCATCCCATCAGGCTCTGAACACGATGAAGAGCGTAAACAAATCAGATCTAGGTTAAGAAAAAGTCTAAGGAACGACCGTGAGCAGTGGTGGGCAACGAAAGCAAAAGAGATGGAAAAGGCGGCGACTATAGGGAACACAAGACAGCTTTACAGACTAATAAAAGAAACTGGAATTAATAAGTCAAGTGTAAGTGAGATTATTTCGGAAAAAGACGATACTCTCATCTGCTCCCAGTCCAGACGTTTAGAACGATGGGCGGAACATTTCAGAGAACAGTTCAGCTGGCCTTCAGCTACTCTACAACTACCCTCCATTCCCAGACAATGTGAATGGAACATTGAAGTAGGTCCCCCAACTCTTGCTGAAGTTCAAAAGGCTATAGTTAATCTGAAACGAGGAAGGGCAGCTGGTCCAGAGGTCTTTAAGGATGGTGGTCCAATTTTAGCGATTAGGTTGACTAATATTTTAGCTAAGATCTGGGAGTTAGACGTTATTCCATCTGACTGGTCACAATCACTTATCGTCCCAATATATAAGAAAGGGTCAAAATCATCCTGTGACAACCACAGAGGGATTAGTTTAACTAATATAGTATCTAAAATACTAGCCTCGATAATTATCAGACGCCTAACTAAGACTCGTGAACTACAAACACGAGAGAATCAAGCTGGCTTCAGACCTGGTCGTGGCTGCATCGACCACATATTCACCATTCGTCAGGTTCTAGAACACAGGCATACTTACCGGCGTCCGACGATGGTGGTCTTTCTTGACTTAAAAGCAGCATTTGACTCTGTAGACCGCGAGATCTGTGGCAGTGGCGTACCTCAGAAGTACATAAACCTTGTGAAGGCTCTTTACTCGAACACTACTAGTCGAGTCAGAGCTTATGGCGAACTGTCATCTACTTTTGCAACCTCAAGTGGTGTCCGTCAAGGCTGTCCACTTTCTCCATTTTTGTTTAACTTCATCATAGACCTATTGATGGAAATAACATTCTCGTCGACTGAATTCTCGGGTATTGATCTCCTTCCAGGAGGTCCACTTATCGACTTAGAATACGCAGATGACATAGTCCTGTTTGGTGAAGACAAAATGCAGAGTCTTCTGGTAGCACTAAGCAACAATGCCAGAATGTTTGGAATGCGCTTCTCTCCCTCTAAATGCAAGTTGTTGCTTCAGGACTGGTCTGCGTCAACACCTGAACTAAGGATAGGGAGTGAAGTAGTCGAACGTGTTGACAACTTCACTTATCTTGGAAGTCTGATCAGCCCTAATGGGTTGGTGTCTGACGAAATCTCAGCACGGATTCGAAAAGCTCGTTTGGCTTTTGCCAACTTACGTCACCTATGGCGAAGGCGAGATATCCGTCTATCAATAAAAGGACGAGTATACTGCGCGGCAGTCCGTTCTGTTTTAATTTACGGCAGCGAAACATGGCCATTAAGAGTAGAAGACACTCGTAAGCTACTAGTATTTGACCACAGATGCCTTAGAAATATTGCTGGCGTCTGCTGGGATCACCGGGTAAGTAATAGTGAGGTTAGACGCAGGGTATTAGGGAATGATGGTAAATCAGTTGATGAGGTTGTGAATCTTCATCGACTGAGATGGTTGGGCCACGTGTTACGTATGCCTGAACACCGATTACCACGACGTGCAATGCTAACCGGCGTTCGGGATGGTTGGAAGAAAGTTAGGGGCGGCCAAACCAAAACGTGGCATCAGTGCTTGAAGTCACTAACTTCTAGTCTGAGCCATGTTGGTAGATGCAGACTACTTGGTTGGGGTCCGCGTGACTATCGTAACCAATGGTTAGAGACTCTTGGTGACAAGGCTCACAATCAATCACAATGGCGTCGGTGTATACACTCTCTATCTTCCCTTAAACTAAGAGATTAAAATCGCTTCATATTTTTCTTTCTACGAACTAATTCTTTCTTCCTGTACTATATCCTTATATGCAATCTTTCTTTATATATTACCACCTCTGAATTAACTACTTTTATGAATCCGTTGTCATCTTGTTGTGTTAATGAAGCATGGCAACCTGGACCGATGCATAAATGTGCCTGGTCCTACGTTGTAGCTGACTGACTGACCAGTGCCTTTGTAAAATATGAAAATCATATATTAAATACATCATTTGCACATCTTTCTTGAATTTACTTCACATACTCCATCGTTCTTCCGATTGCTTTCCGTTATTTTTTAGTTCTCTTTAGTTCAATCTACTGCTAGTAAGCATTTCACTTCATATCCCTGCTGCATACTACTTATATCTGTTCACATAAGTAGCGCATACCACAATAGTAGAGATTTACAAAGCTCAGTTATGTATATAATTCTATTATGTAAACTAATCAAAGATAACAGTATCAGTGTATGTAGTGGAATAGTGTTGATAATTTTTAAACAAAAGACATTATCGGTGTACACTATGTATTACAGAAGCACACTATCAGCGCAATTAATCGTTTGATTGTATTTATACTTGAAATGTCATTTCATATAAATTAATTACTAGTCGACGTTATACTCTCTGCACTTTTGTAAAAGTTTGAAAAAACCTATTTCTCACTTAAACATCATTAAAAACATAAATACAACTAATATCACAGCTATCCACGATTAGAATTATAATTACTGTTAGATGATATTCAACTTGATGAAAATTTTTTCCAAGCTCTCCTGGTCTTCCAATGTTCTCTGAATAGTAAAGAAAATTGTTTTGTTTTACTCATATTATGAGAATACATGTTTCTGGAATTATTCTACACATAATTTTATGACTATTAAAATCTTGTATATTGATTATGATTCTATATGGCTGGTTATTATGTTTTCCCAGACATTTGAGAAAAGATTATCGATGAGATAACTGGTGAATGTTTTGACGTTATTAGTAATATAATTGATGGCAGACACTTAAAGTCTTATAAATAACTGGCAATTATTACCAAATTTTATCAAATGTAAACTATGCGCTCCACATATTATTTCCCCTAATATATCTTATGAGAGACGAGATAGGTACATTAGAAATTGTGCATGGAAATCTGTAGTGGCACTGGGCCCTAATCATACAACCTTCAAAGCTGAACACGAGACAATTAAGAAAGTAGATAATCAACATTAAACGCGGAGAAAAATCCAAGGATGAGGAAGTCGAGAAGAATAAATCCAATTAATTTGAATTGATCTGATGGCATGGCTCGGCCTTTCAGGCGTGGTCTTACTTATGTAACACTATTTCTATCCATATTAAATACATTGTTCTATCTCCAGTCTAAATGTGTTCCTCATCATGTATTGATGATTGTTACAATGCGATGAATCAGGGTAACAATGATGTAACT